TACACCCATGTATCAAAGAGGCACATTATGCCCCATAAATACGTATACTTATGTTTTGACTATAAAAACAAAAAATTGCTTGACTTCATCACTTACTCAGCATGGCTGAGCCTCAGTTTTATCATCTAGAAAATATTAAGTGTAGGGCCGGGGATTTAGCTCAGTGACTTAAAAAGTTGCCTGGTAGGCACGAGGTCATGAGCTCAATCCCTGCTATATATATAAACTCTGACCAAGCTACCACGGAGAACTCTGAAGGAAGCAAATCATATAACTAAGATAAGAGCAGTTTGAAACAAATATGTTCAGTGTTTGTTTTAAAACATATATAGTTAAGCTTATAAAAGATGAATTCAGAGCCACATACATATTTTTATTAAAAGTTATAATGAAAAGGATAAGATTCAAGTGAATACTCGCATTATATAAGCCAAAAGACACTAAATTTACCAGTTCTTCCTTTTAAAAGATGTTTTGGTAATTTAAAAATTACTATTACAAATGTATCTTCAGTTTATTTCTATAACCATTAAACTACATAAAAGATTATCTGGAAAGGATAACCAAGACTTCAATGTTCAGTATTATCATAATAAAGATTTAACACAATTAAGGATTGAATCAAACTTAGGGTTGTGCATTAGTACATGGTTATTTTTTTTGAATCACCAAAAAGATTAAATCTATACATCCAGTATTCCATGGGTTTGAGACATGATTGACAATTATCTTGTATTTGCTGTAACTTAGTATCCAACAGGCATTTCATTTGACATCATGTATAATATAAAAGAATAATTTGCTAGTCAGGAAAGTATAATCTACTTTAATAACTATACGTATTTCTTGTCAAGCCTTATAAAAGGTCTTCTAAAATTCTCTAGTAATAATAATATAATTAGACTTTAACTTTTAACAAATTTGAATTTAACCATTATTCAGCATCATTAATGTACTTGAAAAAACAAAAAATATTGCATATTTTGATGTTTTCTGGTTCTTGTAAAAATGTAGTTTCATAAACACTTAAAAATCTTTTTAATTGTGAAAATTATAATTGTTCTCATTATGACTTTATTGAGATACCCAAACATGAATAAAAAGCATGGGACTTATAATAATCGCAATGTAGGTACCTTTTTTTGTTTGTCATGAGAGAAGCGTGTCTTCTTTGGTATTTTCCCTAACTTGTTTACAAATTTTGGGATATTTAGTAGATAACAAGTGTTATATACACCACTAGTGTGAATTGTCTCTATTTGTTCTGCTTTTAGTAACACAGAAATGGTAATTTTAACAAGGAAAACTACCTCTTCCTAAGTGCCCCATAAGTCACTCTAAAACACCATGTAAGACTTTTCCTAACTCAGTATTCAATCTGAAATTTAAGAAGTAACCACAGAGGCCCTCTTTACCAACCTAAAGTGATTGAAAATATTAAATCTGTCTGATACCACAACTGCCAAATCACACACTAAATCTCATTTGTCTCTTACCAAATACAATATTAGAATTGCATTAACTTACATTTCTCATTAGAAATCTAGACTGCATGCTATAGAAATCCCCTTACAGGATATCATCTCTCAATCAGCCTAACTGCATCTATTCATTAATGAGCAGTTGATGAATATTAGGAGCAGATTGTTTTCAATGGTATCAGTAAATTAGCTCTCATCTGTATTTTTGCAAGTTTCTATACATAGTAATTTTTAACACTATTTAGTAGGGATTAAATAAAAGAATGTTATGTAAGGGTGAAGTATTATAATGTATAAAGCTAATTTTAAAGTTATTTAGTAGGGAAAATTACACATAAAAATAGACAAATACAATAAAGACATAAAACAAATAAGGCAAAATGTTAACTTTTGTTGAATCTGATGTGCATATGGCTATTCACTGTATTATACATTCAATTTTCACATTTAAAAAGTTTAAAGTTTCAAAATATCTTAAAATTGAAGTGTTACACTCCATTGCTATATCCTTAAAAGTAAAAGAACATTTCTTACTTTTAAAATACACACAGCCTGAACATATAAAGAGAACCAATACTCTTAACTTTCCTAGAAAATACTCTTCATATTTATTGGGTGTTTGACATTTTCAATTTGCTTCAAAAGAGGTACTTACATTTTCCATCTCAATGTATGACTAATTACTACTCCCAATTAAACTCAAGGAAATATAAGTTAAGAAAATTACTCAAGTCCTTATATGGTATGCTTTTTTACTCTCCACATTCTCTGCGCTTCCCACACATTCCCTGTTACTAGTCACTACCTCCATTTACTTTTTTAAAAGTAAAAGTAGGCCCTATCATATTTAACACATTTCAAAGCCTGCGGACACAGAAAATGTACAACAAAGGTAATTTAATATGGAAGAGAAAGCTATCACAATATGTGTACCTTACAGAAAATCATCAACTATTCAGAATTTTGTTATGTTTTGCTTTGTTTGCAGGGCACGGTAATGAAGCACATAGAAGCTTTGTTGAACCTTAGAGATCAAAGAAATGAACAAAATTTTTTAAATGTAATTGGTGTCTTTTCGTGCTTCTCTCTGGATTTTCAAAATAACAATGGTCATACCAAAGCAACAAAAAGCATTGTTATCTACCACTAAAATCACCCAATTTTTCTATATACAACTTTTGACAATTACTTACTGAAACAGTGTTACTGGATAAGTATTTCTATTTATTGTTGCTTTGCTAGATAATTGGTTTTTCTAATTTAATTTCAAAAACAAATTTATCATCAGTAAATAATAAAAATAAGCTTCTTAGGAGAGTAATTTTCACAAAAACACCACACCCTCATTTGAGCTATGTTACTCTCCTTTTACACATTTTTCAAGATGCATACTATCAAAATGTTTACATTTGGAAAACATTTAGCATGTCAAATTATCTCGGAGCTTGCAATTTTAAGTACATTGAAGTGTTGCACTTGCAAAGAATTCACTTATTCTCTGGCATTGTAGAGAAGTATTCCTAAAAACAAAGATATATGGTGGCTCACTACCATAGAGAATCAATGCCCATCTATTTAATTTGCTAAGACAATGTAAATTAGTAACTTCCAGCCAGATGTGTGTGTGTGATATACACATTAAACAAACTGCAACCTGTTCATTATGAAAATCCTGTCAACACACACAGAGCCACTTGATGACATTTCATCTAAAGCTGTTTCCACATTTGCAGCTATAAAAATTGTTCTAGGAATTTTTATACAAGGAATTGGAGCTGAGACTCATAAAAAGATAATCAATTTCAGCTTTTCATCTTGTATGCTTGTGTATAGACGCTTCTATGTGTTTATTTCTATTTTCATTCAGAGCTAAAATATGTTCAGAAAAAATTTTTATGATGCTATTTTTCCTTCTAGAAATCATTTATCCCCATTACATGTTTTTAAATCTGATGTGAAGTTGATTGTCTGATTCTGCAGCTCTGAAAAAGTGTATAAAGACTGACACAGTCAACAGAAGAAAAAAAGAACACTTACCCACTGGAAAAAATGAATATTTTAAAATGACTTCAAACATAAATTAAGTTTACCCGTTGGGAGGTCTAACTTGCATTCAGATCATTTATAGGGGTCTGTGTGACTATATACCCTGCTGTTTGATAAAGAATGATTACTAACCACAGGCACCCACCAGAGAATAGTGTGTATGTATAATGCGTGTGATGTCTCAGACATACAAGGCACCTTCTTAAAGAATGTCCGTTTCCTTTCCATGATAAGCAGACACAATTTTTCACCCTTTAACGCTTCTGCTTCACAGAGTGGCTTGAGTTATGCTTTGCCATTTTCTCTTATGTTGATTCTAGTAATAAGAAAACTGAATTCCTGAAATATTTTTATGATACCCAAAGTAATGATTTGCTTTCGGCTCTACATGAAAATACACATCCTTCTTGCTATTACAAAAATCGAATCATATTTATCTTTAATGCAAGCAAAAGATGTTAAAGGATTCTTCTTAATAATTTGCTATTATTCTTAAATACGGGATTCCCATCTAACCAAATTCATTTTCTAAGTCTATCGGGTCAAATTTTCTTGTTAAACAGGGCAGAGTAAATAATCTTACTGGCAAGAATATTTTCAACTAGTATATTATTAATGTGGCAATGTAATGTGGAATGAAACCAATTCTCACCTCTATGTACGTTCTGATTGCAAAGAGCGTCCCTTAACCAACATCCTAATATCAAAATAGCGCTTCTTGTAAGAAGTAAATAATCCCCGTGGTTCCCTCAAACCACCGAAATTTCACTCCCCCCCCCCCCCTAAAATCGGTTCTGCCACACCAAAGACTCCTTCCCACAGGCTTCAGCCCTAAGCAAGCGACTTCCCCGAGCGCGGGCAGAGCGCGCTGCCCCGCAGTCGCCGCAGGCCACGTGAGCAGGCTGGCCACCGGGCCACGCGGCCACGCGGCCACGCGGCCACGGGGAGGCCGGAGCTCCCGGAGGAAGCGGCTCGAGGCGGCCGCGGGTCCGCGTGGCCCACGACTGCGGGGTCCTGCGGGCGGCCCACCGCCTTCTGGGGTGCAGGCTGCCCCCCTCCCCGGGGGCCTGCGCCCCTCCCGTCCGTGGCTGGCGAAGGAGGCGCAGAGCTCTGCGCCCGCCGCGGACTGTTTGGGATTAAGAACTTCAAACCCAGATCGAAAGCAGTGAAACAGATGTCCTGCTCGCTAGCCGGAACGGTTCCGCACGCCCCATCCTTCCTCCGTCTTTTTATCGTTCCGTCTGATTTTTATTTAATGCAGAGTTCGCTTTAAAAGGGAAGAAAAAGCAAGCAGCAGGGACTGTCACGAGAAAGCCTCTAAGTCTTTTTCTCGGAAATAGCAAGGTAGGGACCTCTCCATTAAGCTGCAAGCGCTACAGCCGCCCCCTTGCAGCCAGCCAGCTAGCATCCTTCTCGGGGTTCAAGTCGACCCCCCGGGGGGCCCCCCAGCCCGGCCTGCCCGGGCGCACTCACGTGAGGACGTAGTTGACGCTGACGATGCAGTGAGGCCGGGAGGAGCGGCTGTTGTGCACGATGGTCGCGTAGCTCTGCACCCAAACCCATCCGCCGTGCTTCGCCAAGAACCTGTAGTACTTGGTGGTCACCTGCCCCTTCACCAGCACTGAGGGACGGACAGAGGGTCACTCAGCCTCAACTGCTCCGGTCCCAGAGGCCCGCGGTGGGAGTGCGCACAGGAGGCCAGGACAACAGCACATCCCACCGGCTGACTGTCCTATTAAATTACCTCAGTCCTAGGATTCCCTTGCAGGTATGGTAGTGGAGTGACCTCTCTCTGGCTCTAGTCTTCAGGATTAGCAATTGGGGAGTACTTAAAATTGAGAATTCCGTCCAGAGTGTTTTTCTAACTATGAAGGAAAGGCCGAGCAGCCTTGCTGTATTCCCAATCTCTGGAGAATAAACTCAATGCAAAAACTATAGTAAAAGCCAGAGGTAAAGTGGTGCAAGCCTTGTAAGCCTAACTATTTAGGAGGCTGAGGCAGGAAGATCACAAATCCGAAGCTAGCCTAGGCAAAGGCCTGGAGAGGTAAATCAGTGGTATTGTGACCCTGGGTTCGACCCCTGTATGGGAATAGAGAGAAACAGCCAAGGGGATTCGGTGCTTAGAAAGTCGGGAAGCCTATCAATAAGAGAATAAAACTCCTGGAGAAAATTCACTTAGGAACTCCCCTTTCGCCAATGTTAGCTGTCCCCAGAGAATCCAGTGTGGGAGCAGCCTTCTGTGGTCTCAAGTACCACCACTGCCGGCTGTGAGGGCTCCCACCGGTGCGTCGTCGTGCACTGCAGTTCCCCCGCCCCCAGCCTCGGGCACGCGCGAGGGATGGTAGGTGCAGGGCAGGGCGGTGGCTTACGCAGGTGGTGCGCACAGCGCAGGTGGAAGGTGTCGCAGCCATGCACGTGGTGGTACAGGGTCTTCTCAATCAGGTCCTGAGGCTCGTAACCAGTCAGCTCCGCCACCCTGCGGAGAGCAACCCCCACCCTCGCACTGAGTGCCGGGGTGTTGTCAACTCCCCACAGCCTTCCCAGACCTAGGCGGGCACGTGGTCGGTAGCTTAATCTACTAGATGGGCTCTGGCGATTGCCGAGCTCTACCCCGCGCAGCAGGGCGGCCTTGCGCTAGGGGGCTGCCCGCACCTGGAGTCCAAGAAGATGAGCTTCATGTCAAGGCTGGCGCGGAACATGAACATGTTGCTATGCAGCTTGATCTCGGTGACCGCGCTAGGAGGCAGCGAGTGGCCCACCGCCACCAGGCCCACGTTCTGGTAGCAGCCGTCAAAGGGGGACATGTCCAGGCTGTACTGGCGGATCTTCAGATAGCCGCTGCAGTGAATGACCTGTACGAGGTGGGAGGAGGCGTGAGACTAAGTGGAGGTCAGCAAGGGCCCCAAAAGGATGGGAAAGGGGTTGAAACGTGTTGACACTGCTGGGCCAGGAACCATGTATACACCATGTCTTTTTAATAAATTGTGTCAGAAAAGTGCACACCACACTGACCTCAACTGGAAGCTCGTAAAAAACAATGATGCAGGTGCCTGAACCCTACAAACTCTATCATATCCCATTCAGGTCTCTGCAACCTGCTTTTTAATGACATTCAACCTCATTCACCTTGGGAACCACAGCTTCCAGCTAAAGAGCAAGTTCTTAAGTCTCTGGGGATTCAAACTCTGATGCTGTGACTACAATAGGAATCCATCTAAGTTACCATTTCAGAGACTTAGGGGGACCAGTTAGTATCCAGGACTAGTCAGACTTCCGTGGTGGTAAGCGTGGTCCCCCCAGGATTCGGGGAACCAGTGGAAGTCCTGACTCATGTGTCTCACACACTCAAGGCCTGGAATGTGGAAACCATTAGCACTCAGACTTCAGGTGTGGGACTCGTGGGCCACACAGAAGTGCCAGGAGGTGTCTCTCTTCCAGCTGCCACGCACCTTGTAGCCACCGCAGGTGAGCCCAGCATTCCTCTTGGCCAAAACACACTTCATCCTCAGGAAGAAAGAGCGCTCAATCTCATACTCTGGGAGAGGAGAGAAGGCTCAAGACAGAGACAGGCACAGCTGTGGGTCCCAGCTAATACTAGGAGAAAGTCACAAGCTGACTCCCACGGGCCCAGACATCATGGAAAACACGTGCCTGCCTTACCCTGTACGAAGTGAGAGTGGTAGGGCTGGTGTGCTGTGAGCACTGCAGTCATCTCATCGTGGTCTGCTGGGTGAATATATTCATAAATGCTGTTTCCAGTCAGCTCTACCTGTAAAGAAGAGGGTATCACTGTTTCTGCATTAGAAGAAAGCCTCATAAGAGGCAAAAGCTTTGGCCACAGGGTCTTGATGATCCATGAAGACAGCTAATGGTCTGGAATTGGCCCTGCACTCTAATTCCACCTCTACTGCTTTCTAGTGACTGTTGGCTTATTATCTAAACCTCAGCTTTCTTATCTGGGAATTAATAATAATAATTGTGGTAGCAATGATAACAGCAGTAGGAGTAGTAGGAGCAGCTCTGAGATCATGAGATAAGTATGTGACCTCCTCCCACAGTGTCTGGCTTATGGTAAGAACTCAAAAAGTAAAGCTTGCATGGGCCCAGGGAAGAAGCTAAAGGACTTGGCTGGGGATATAGCTCTGCAGCACAAGCACCTGCCTGGCAAGCACAAGGTCCCAAGTTGATTTCTGGTACCAAAAAAAAAGTTGAAAGAGCTTCTTTAAGCTCAGAAATGGGGGCGACCTAATTTTATTTAAAGATTCCTCCAGCCAACAGAGAGATTTTCAGCCCCAGAAATGCAAATATAAAGGGCTGCGGAAACATCACATACAGACTATTCCTTCCAGCTCTGGTTATAAACACTGCAGGCTGGAAATGTGGACCACTCACCTACCTGAGAAAGACCCAGGTGAACTGAGGCTGTCTCTGAGATGTACATGATCTTCCCATCTGGGGCTACCACAAAGATGAAGCCATCCAACGTCTGGGGAAGCAGAAATAGAGTAAATGGAGAGGCCTCTGGGCCATCTGGAGAAATGGGGGAAGGGAGGACAGAAATCAGGAACATTCACCAGAAGAGCAGGGAAATGGAGTGGAGAGAAACTGAGTTACCACACCAGCCACAGTGGTCCCCTCCCACACACACCCTGATTGTTCATTCCAAATTTGTAAGTATAGGGGCATGTAGCAAATTGGGACATGTCCAGAGGAAGTGGTAGACAAGGATAATGCCCCATAAAACTCAGGACCCACTGAAAGAGACAAATATACATCTATAACAGAAAAAAAGACATGGCTATGGATAAGAGATGGATAAGTTAGGTCCTTGGAAAGATGGAATCCAAAGAACCAGAGGTTCCTGTGTCATTCTTGAAGGACTTTGTAGTGTTGTTTGTGGTCTGAAATGAAAAGAATAGTGACAAGGCACAAGCGAGTCAATGCAGGAAGCACTGGTCCACAGGGACGATCAGAAAGTCTGAAGTTTGCAGACAAAAGAAAACTGGCCAGTGGTCCTGGAAAGACTCCAAGATAGGAGGATTAGAAGATGAGAGGCTATATGAGCAGCAAGTCCACAGAGTGATGTTATTATACTGTATATATTTTGTGTGTTTACTCTAAATCATTAATCTGACAGGCTCTCCATGGAGGAAAGTTTAGACTTTCCCTATCCTGCCCCTTTTATCTGTAAATAAGTCCTCACAGTCCAGCAATGGAAATCTAGGATAAATCAGATTCTTCTCTCAAGGAACTGAAAATAGCTTTAAGATAGATATGAATAATCACATGGTTTTAAGATACATATAAAAATAGTTTTAAGATTTATATGGATGACCACATGGTTGGATAGAATGGTAAACAGGCAGAAGACCTTTCTAGGTCACCTCAGGCCAAGGGAGGCATCGAAGAGGCCGTAAAAGAGATGATTTAAGCAGAAATTTGGAGAAGAACTTTGGAGAAGACAGGAAAAGTACCATAGACAGAAGTAATGATGTGACAGAGGTAGAGATAGGAACTAGGGGAATGGTGTATTCTGAGGTGAAAAGTTCTGTGCAACAAAGATGAGACTAAGAAAGTATATACCCACATTGGTTTTTGGAGTTTGAAGTGTCAATCTGAGTAATCTAGAGTTGCTCCAGTAGACATAGAGGTAGCATAGGCTTCCAAGCATGAAAATACATGATTAGCTGTATTGCTGTTGTTGTTGTTACTGACAAAGTATAGATGATGATCTTTAGGTGTAAGCAATTGATGATGCTTAGGTGTAAGGAGATCAGAGCAGTTAACTGAAGTAGAAATAGTCAAGCCTGAAATTGGGTGGTCACAAAGATAATGAAGAAGAGAGACAGTCTAATTCAAAGATTGTGCTGACTATGGACTTCATGCAGATTGTTGGCAGAGAAGTTTAGTTTGACTTTCAGATTTCAGTAAGAACATAGAACACATTCATTAAGATTAAAAATTCAGAAACAGTGAAATTTTGTATGATGGAAATCTAGGTACAGAGATAAAGCATTCCTGTCTTGGAGATGCTAAACTTTCAATGCATGCACATTTCAACTTAAGATGTGTCCATCGGACATAGGAAATAAAAGTCTGGAACTCAGAAGAGGGTCTGCAGTGAAGAAACCAGCTGGAGTTAAGTGGAGAAATGACTTGATGTGGTGGCATTAGCTGAGATCACCCAGGCAGTTTTACAACTGAGAAAATACACAAAGATGGAACACTGGAAAAATTCCATAATTTGCAGAACAATCAGGGAAGCAAGGAGTCGGAGAAAAGGGGAGAGAATGTGGGAGTAGCGTTATCTAAAAATAGCAAGAAGAGACTGTGAAGTCATCAGATTCACTTCCTGTGAGTCTTTGCCAAAATATTACCTCAGTTAAGCCCTCACCATACATTCCCTACTTTAATTGGCAAAACTAAAACAGAGCCCCCATCCTTCTCCCTCTTCTCTCCCCAGCACCTACGCCACCTCATACACTATACAGTGCACCTCTGCGGGTTTGTAAGGCTTCTCTCTTTAGAATGTATACTCTGTGTGGGCAGGGCTTTGGGCCTGCTGTACTCATGGGATGAACAAGTTCAGGAAGGATTAGACATGAGCATCGGACTCTTGGTGTCAGGATGTGGTGGTGCCTGTGCAGAGCACAATGGGTGGAAGAGATGCTAGACTGGAGAGATGTGGGAGTGCATGGAAAGGGAATTACTAGAATTGCATGTGTGAATCAGTCCTGCCAGAAGTCTGAGATGAAGAGCAAAGAGATTGGGCAAGAGCTGGAAGGGGTAAAACATTGGGTTTTGTTCCCTTATTTATGTTGCTGGGAGAAATTAGTTGGAAATACGAGAAAAACGGGGAAAGGTGATACAGGGACATGATAGAAGCTGCTTAAGTAAAGGGAATTACAGAATCTTTCTAGATAAATTCAAAATGATGGAGGCCAGATCAGTGAGGGAATCCTCTCCTAAGCCCTTTCTTTGTTCTGAGAAACTAATATCTGTTTGGTCCCTGGGAGGGAAAAAAGAGTGGGTAGCAGTGCAACATGAAAGCCATTGGGATCCTGCAAACAGATGTGGCTTCTTAGGCCCCAGGCTCCACTGGAGGAGCTGCCAGTGGACTTGAATAATAATAAAGAGGGTGTGGGGGGCCGGGATGGGGGGGACAAGTGTCAAAGCTAAAAATGCCACAGGGGTTATTATTTAAAATATTTGTTTTGTGATTTAAGTCAGCAACAGGCAATTTAAAACAGTGTGCACTCCAAACAAGAAGGTAATGGGCACCTCGCAATGGCTAAACTCATTACTTGGGGGTGTGTTTGTGTCTACTGGAGGGTTTGTACAGAACCTGAGCAGGCCTGAGACTGGGAAGAGAGGGGAAGCCTGGGAACAACAGGGAGGAGATGAAATGAGATGTCAACGCAGCTGGATCCGGAATGTGTAGGCTTAAAATACTGAAGGGCATTTCCACCAGATTCCTGTGATTTCCTTTGCAAGTTTCCTTCAGAAACTTCTTTTCCAATATTTCTGAAGCCTGTCCTCACAGGCCTGGCCCTAGTCATTCCAGTTTTCTGTGTCAAAGGGTGACAAAAGTACCCTCTCTCTTTTTCCAACTGTCCTAGAGGGGCCTTATTGGGCTCTTTTCTAAACTCAAAGTCTTAAATTATTCTTCTATGTCATGCTCAGCTTCTTAAAACTCCTTTTACCCATCCAGACTCAGCTAAAAGCTAAAGTTTTAACTTTGAAGGAGTTGTTGGGCTAAGAGAGAGCCCAATCTAGGTCGGAGCTTATTCATTGATTGATTGATTGATTGAAACTAAAAGCCCAGCAGAACAGAAAGTAAGCAGACACAGGGATCTTGGAGCACACATGGCACCAGAAAACCTGTGCGTGTACCTGGAGTAGATGGGAGCCCAGCTCACGGCCAACGTTGTCCAAGGGACTTGTGCGACTGGAGTGACCCCATGCCTCTCCTAGCCCTGTGGAGACAGAAAAACAACCTTTAGTAAAAAATGCAATGCAACTGAAAGTTTGGGACTTGTCAGAGTTTACAGTTTGTTACAGGTGTTCTCAAGAGAGAGTACAACTGAATACCATTCCTAGTGTCCCCCCCCCATCATTCAATTCCCTGCACAATGAGGGGGTAGGGAGCGTAAGAACTTGTAAATTTTGGCCTTCTTCCCATTGGCTTCTGAATGGAAATCAGACTTGCTCCACTTGATCAGCTCCAGTTTCATGGGAAAGGACTTTCTTCATACACAGGCCAAGCAGGACGTCAAGTGACCTCTGCTCTAGAAGAATCTGAGACACTACACCCAGCTATAACTTGTGCATGGGTTCACTAGTATGTTCAGAGGGTTAAGGGACAGCCAATTTCTCCCCCAAAGGTTTTAACATCATTCTTTGCCCTTATCAAGAACTGGCGGACATCTCCATACACAGAGAGCAAGCTGTTGCCCCCTGGAAAAACCTGGGATAACTGGCCAGGATCATCTGGTCCCTGATGTCTTTCTGATTGGCTGTGGGACCTTCTAGTCATTCTCCTCCTTTGCCTGTGACTTTAGTCCTCTACCAAAAAAAAAAAAAAAAAAAAAAGTTTGTTTACAGTGAATTCACAGCCTCATGCTTACCAGCATCCCTGGCAATTGTCTTCCTCCAGTCTCCCTCCAAAGCTGGGTCTTACACACCCCTCACCCGCCCTACCCCATCCACAAGGAAAAAGAAGGTCATGGTTTTTCCTGAAGGCAGTTACTTTGAGGCCCTAGCAGTCTTTTAACAATATTTTCCTTCTGCCTGGACTGGTATTATTCAGTTTCTCTACTTCTCAGGTAGCATCTCTTACTAACAAACACAGCTCATTCCTCTCCTTGATGTTACCACATTTGGATCTTTTGAGGCTTTGCAACAAACCTCAGCACTATTCTCGAGCTGCCTAAAATATAAAGCACTCCAGATTCATTGCTGATTTTAAAAAATATTAGTATAGCCCATCATATTACCTCTGTACAGAAAGAAATGCTTTAAAAGCAAAAGAAACTTCTGCAGACCTAGGTCAGACTATCTTTTAACAAGGGAGCTGCTGAAATTATTTCACTAAATAGTTAAATTCTTTCATTCTTAGAACATTGAGCAAGGTTTAATTGACTTTTTTTTTTTTGAGGTGATCTGCTTCGTTGGGGGCGGATGCACGGAAAAGCACATAGTGACAAACACATTCCCACTGTAATAAAGGGTGAAAAGGGTCTTTCATAGTGAAACCTGGAGTTAGACTTCTTAAAGGTGTTGGCCAGCAGCTGCTTCCTAAGCAAGCAATCAAAGCCCTAGTTACGAGTAACAGGAGCGCCCCTTAAGCGCCAATAGGGTCTTTCTAGGTGTTTGCACATCTAAATAAATCTAACGATTTCCCCACCTCTGGGCAAATACTGATGCTCCCGCCTATGACTGGACTTCTCTCCCTCCCGCCAGGAGCTTGACCCCTCCTGACTCCCATCTCGCCCCCGGCTACCCTCCCGGAGTGACTCCACTGCCCTAGTCCCTGAAGTCCTCCCGCACCATTCCAGGAGGGCACACGTGGCCGTCACGTTCCCTTCGCCCTCCTGACGCAGTCAGCCTTCCCTGTTTTCTGCACCTGTGCGGTATATATATATATATATATATATATTTTTTTTTTTTTTTTTTTTTTTTTTTTTTGGTACCCGCTCAAAGGTACCACCCAGAAGGGGGAGGAGGGAGTTGGCTGAGGAGCCTGCACCGGAGAAAAGGCTCAGGACCCTGCTGGGAGTGACTAGCCAGAAGGTGGACCGGCCCAGGGCACCCCGAAGCCTGAGGAGTCCCCAAATCGCACGTCTTCTCCGAGCACGGGCTAGCGCTCCTGCACACTCGGAGCAGCCTGAGCCGCGGGCGACGTGTGGGTGGGGAGGCTCCAGAGGATGGGAAACCTGAATTGGGTGTACAAATATTTTTACATTTTGGTGGGTCTCCAGCCGCAGCCTCCCGATATGAATGATCTGAACAGCCCCGAGCAGGGCGGGAGGTGGGGTTTTGCCCTGAACTCGCGGCCGGCCGGCCTCGCTAACCCTCGGTGGTACGTGCCGGGAGGGAAAATCAGACTTCCCCACTGGTTAATCAGCAACCCGTCCGGTGCAGGTTAACGAGGGCCTGCCTCGCCCTCCCCTGCACATTCCGCCTTTTAAGGGATCTTTTGCTTTTATGAAGCGTTGCTTTCTCTTTTTGTTTCGAAATACCACGCGGTTAGGTCTGGGTTAATATTTCATGAGGCACTGGCTACCTTGCCTACCTGTCAGCCGTCCAGATGTAGTTCAGGGCTGAATTCGCCCTTCGGGGTGCGGAGGACACCTCCCCAAGCCCGAGCCTGGTCACCCCTTCTCAAAGTCTCCCAGTCACCCGCTGGCCTCCTGCCTGCGGTAACGCGCTTCGGTACCCAATTTCATTTGGCGAGGGGGTAAGCTGAGATTTCGTTTCTGCACTTGACCTACCGCAGAAAATTCGCAAATCCTTTGATTGTCTGTTTAAAATGAGGAGGAAACCGGCTCCCTTTGCGGCGGGATTACAGTGGGAACAAGATCTAAAGATTCTCTTGTAATTCGGTGAGGCCGAGGGAATAGGGTTTTGCAAAGGAGAAAAGGAGTTCTGCGAGGGAGGCGATAACTAAATCGGGTTTTAGACAAAAGGATTTTCTCAAGCTAAAGTGGCCGAAGACAAAGGAAAACATAATCTATTTTGGAAGATTTCCAAGATATGCCACATTAACCTTGGCAGATAAATTTTGCTTTTCCCAGCCCCTATCCCTTCCCTTAAAGTCTGGTTTACCATATTTACATAAGTAGCATTACAGGGATGTATCTATTATGGATCTAAAGGGCTAGCTCACATTTCATGGGAAAACCCAGGCAAGTTTCACTGTTGCTTTACCCCGGTGCGAGGTTGAGCCATTTCCATTTAAATACCCCCTGACCCAAGGATTACCTCAATGGACTGACTGCACGGTTTTTGTAATTTCCTGAAAATGAGATTTCGATTTATAAAACAAGAAACCAATTAGTAACCAAATGAGGCGAAGTAGATCCACTAAAATTGACCTAATCCCACAGGCACCATTTAGGCCCGTTCTTGGCGAATGAATGATGAGCCCCAGTCTAGCTTGAGCTCAAAGCATCATCCAGCTGTGTTATTGCAAGCAGCAAAAATAAATTGATCGAGCTTTTCCTTCCAAATGAATTTCATACCCTTGACAACATATAGATTACAGATCAGATATCCTCACCTCCTTCGTGTAGACAGGAAGAGAAGAGCTTTTTCTATTGCTTTATTTTGTTTTTCCTGTTAATGTATAAGCACACTCTTTCCATATAAATTATTTCTTTCTTGTAGTCCTTCCCGGGGACTACTGTCTCTTGGTGGATGGTGTGTGTTATGCCTTTTAGGCAAAGATGTAAGGCAGAAGCTGGATAAGTTGTTCACCATCACAACCTGGGGACTGGGGTGGAAAAGACCTGGGACACTGAACTCCTCAGGTCCTGAAGCAGATTATCCCAGTCACACAGGTCTCTCCTGGGTCAAGAGTAGGGAGTGTAGGGGAAGAGGCTGGCTTGGAAGCAATGGGGATGACCCCAAATCCCTTGTGTTTCACAGCTCCTGCTCAGCATTGCTGAAGCACTGTCCTGTGTTCCTCTGGTGGGGCACACAGTAGCTTTTGTGTTTCCACTCTGCTCATCTCCAAGACCGGGTACTGCACGAAAGACAGGAACACAGAATGGACACTCCCAGTTAGAGGGAGCTTCCTCAGCAGTTTCTAGGCAAAAGCCTTGCAGCACTAAGGCAAGGCTTACCTGCTCCCATTTATAGTGTTTGGGTCATCTCAGGCCATGGGAGAAATGTGGCAGAGCTCCCAAGGGCATCAGTGACTGTGCACCTAACCTCTGCAGTGTGTAGACTGCCCTTCTCTGTTGCCTGCTGAGGGGCCAGAGACTCTGCACCTCAACCCAAGACGGCACTGTTTGGTAAATCGAGTGGAGACTGACCAGTCACGCCATGCTGAGCCCTTCTTTCTGTGCCCTAGAGTGCTCCATCCAGCCCAGTTTAGACATCCAGCTCAGGACCAAGTGTGACAGCCAAGCTATCTACCCAAGCCCAAGCCTGCTACTAACCAAAGGAGGGCAAGATTCAGCCAGGTCCAGATTAAAACTGAGGACAAATGCATAAGGAAGTTGCTGCCTGGTAGACAAATGTCAACGATTTTTTCCAGGACTTCAAGCCTTGCAATGTGGTGAGGATCTGGGGATACCACCTCCCCATAGTCCCAGCAAGGCAATGTTGCAAGGGCAGGAGGATACTTTTTGGGTTCTACTTGACCGGGGACCGGATGACCACATCCAACTCGCTTTTCAAGACACTGCCCTATTGAACAGGAGCTCCCTTTTAAAGTTTAGAGGGCCTCCTAGCAGTGGCCCAAGCACCGAAAGGGTAGAGGGTGCACACTTGCACTCAGGCTCATGGAGCTCTTGGGAGATCCTGTCCTGCATAGGAACAGAGCAGACTGTGTGGAGCTGTGGCACAGCAAAGGAGAGAACGGGACACAGGACAACAATCTAGCCACTCGCATGCTTTGGGCCATGGGAGAGGGGCAGCAGAGGCCTCTTTTAGATAAATTTCCCCCGTCTGGCCAGAGCCAAGAAGAACAGAACTTGGCCTAAAGCCCTCTGCTGTGTAGGGTAGAATACCTGCACAAGAGAACTTACTCTACTGTGGGATCTGTGTTTTCCTTCGCCAAGGAGAAAGAAGCAGCAGGACCACTCTTAAATAATTATAGTTCCCTTTTCTTGCACAAAATTTAAAAGTTCATTAATCAGAGATTGGTAATGTGTATTCCAATAGGACTTAACCTCATTTTCCTGAGAAATACCTTCCTGGACAGAGAAATGCAGCAAGAATCCATGGACTTCAGTTATGTGCCCATTTGTTTGTCTGTAAAAGTTAGATGCTGCTGCCCAGAACTGAAAAACAACTCGTGAGAAATAAGCCACCTCCTCGTAAATTTAGTGGGAGTTAGCTTCAGATGCATAAGTGTACCCTGCTTTGAAGACATCTTACAATAACTATGAATTTTGTTTTTTTTCTGTTGCTTTTCATTATTTTTTTTAGTGTCCCTTCTCTTTAAAGGACAAATATATTTTTAAATCAATTCTACAATTTCTAGCACATAATTCTGCATTGGAAATACTCTGCACAGTTTAGTTCTGTGGTACACATTTAAAATCAACATCAAAACTGGAATTAAACAGAGAAAGCCAGCATGCAGCATAAACTGTAGTTAAAGACTTTTAAATGAGAAAAACTTCTGTAAGAAAATAAACATAGAAACCTAATGCTCAATCATTTCTCTGAACAGCAAGAAAAACAACTTTAAATCACCCATCCACATGGGAAACGGAACGTCTTTTTCTTTTTCAATTCTCTCCCTCAAAATATATATATATATAACATGATTAAGGATTGAGGTGAATGCTCTAGAAAGGATCTATGAAAGTTTGTTTGCCTTGATTTATTTAAGTTTTTTTTTTCTGAGCAGCTAGTAATTTCAATTCTTTGATTAGTTTTTAAAAAGACGTTTTGACAGTGATATAGTAGAGCAGTGTTACCAGGATTCTGCACAGCAGGGAATTTACAAATCACGTCTGCTTCTTGAAAGTTTATTCTGCACAGCTCTATGCCACTAGCCCAAATCAAATTAGTGCTGAATAGTGGCTATGTATTTCATTTTAGCTGAACTTGTCCTGTTCTGTGTACACAGCAAGTCCTGCACTCTCTTTCTTACCCTCCCTCCTTCCACCTTTCATAGCACCAAAGAGTTGTACATTTCCATATCTCTCAGTTTATCCTTTGCAAGGCTATTTTAGAATAGAATATGCTGTCAATCTGGAGATGTATACTTCTAATGATTTCTCAGTAATCTTCCCTGATTTTTTCTTTTTCTATTAATCTCCAACCCAATGCCAATCTAGCATTTATTCTTAATTATTCCAGGTGCCCATGTCTCACTGCTGTGTTCTTCTTTCTTTCTCTCCGCAACTCCTGAACAGTTCAATATTGTCTACTCAGGTAAACTAAGGAAAAGTTGAAACAAGTCCCAAACAAAAGCCACTAGACACTAGAAGGGGAAATGCATTCACTGTATTCAGCAAGTGAGGGTGGAAGGGAACTTGCTTATGTTTTAAAGATTTCCTTCTTTTTTCAAATGTAAGCATGGAAGAATTTTGGTTTTTTCATTTTGTGTATATAGCATTAGGCTAATATAGGATGATACAGATAAAATATGGTACACACATAAACTGAATTTGTACATTGTGATGACTATAGTTATGCTACCAGACATATAATTATTTCAGTCGGCATATCTTACAAACTCTATTACATGGAATATGACGCGTACCAAGATAAAATAGTCACCCTAAAGACAAAATATTATCGAGGACCTACTAGAATTATTTCAAGCTAGCTATAATGAAGGATTTTATCTTCAAATTCTAGTTAGATCACACACGAAATTACCGTCACTCAAAGTTTTCTGTTTCCTCCACTGCCTTGGATCCGTCTCACCCCCATCTCACCTGAGTCAACGCTGAACCCAAATTTGGCACCCCCTGCAGGCTGTGCCCGGCTCTGTGGTTTGTCACTAACTCCTTTGAAAACTCTTGAGTATTGCTTTTGCTTTTGTTGTATTTTTCCTTACTATTTTAAAGTGCTGTCTTTGCCTTTTGGGATCTCTGAAAAGCATACACTCTCAAATTTTACACCTCATTCCTATGATCCAGCTGTTCGGATGACCCTGTCTGTCTCACGGGGTGGGGGTTGTGGCTGAGTTACGAGCTCAACGGTAGCTGGTAGCTGGAGAAATAAAGGACGTGCCCAGAGTTCACAGTCTTCTGTTCCCTCCTCCCCGAAAACTCACACTCGCCCACTGAGGACGGGGAGGTGGGAGGGGCCCCGGGCGCTGAGGGGCTGCTGGGAGCACCACTGCTGGCCAAAGTAGCCCAAGGGGGGCGCCTGGCCACTGGGGCCTCCAGCAGTGTCTTTATGGGGCTTTCTTAAATAATAACAGGAGAGGTTGCCTCTAGAAGTCACAAACTGCTTTGCGTTTACTTTTTGCTTCTCCTGTCTATTTCGCACGCAATTTACAATTTGTGGACTTAGTCCTTAAACCAGAAAGCTTGCTCTCTTCACAACAAAAGCCGCCTGATCCTCTCAAGGCCGCGCCAGCTCCGGGTCAACAGCCCGCGGCCAGCCCGGCTCCTGTCCGCGTGGTGCCGCCGGGAACGCCGGCCGCTATTCTTCTCCTGCGATTACCAGCAGCCTCGAAGCAGCACCATATGCTGCTTCTGATCAAACAGCGAGCGACATCGGCACCGATAATTGACGAGACCCGCTAGAAATCACGCAGAAAGGGAGCCCACTGAGACCGCAGGAGTTGACAAATCACTGCTAATAATCCTGTTAGGAGCAGCGCGGCCAGCGGGGTTCGCAGTAGCTTTATTTTTATAAAGTAGGCGTTGACAATATAAAGGACAACAAGATCTCTTTTTTAACCAGAAGGCAGTGTAGCATAATGGTAATTTTCCCAGAACCAGTTCTTAGTACAGTTTGGATAGGAAACGTGGATTTTAGATCCTCACTCCACTTTTCCTTTTTAAGAACTTTTCAGGTACTTTCAAGCTTAAATTCTTCTCCTATGGTTTTCATGATCAAACGAGAACAGTTCAAGGAAACATTTTAAGAGGAATCGAGTATAAGAGAGTTTGAGGGCAAAATGAACTATTATTTGAAAGTTTTCCTGTAGCACCCTTGACTAATTTTGGAACATGTTTTTGCAAGCTTGACATTAAGATCAAGCAAAGTGAAACTCCAAACCCAATAACTACTTCCTCTCCTCATCACCATTTCTTGAAAAAAAAAAGAAAGAAAAGAAAAGGAGAGGAAAGAAAAATGCCTACAATCAACAACAACACATATTTATGGACGAAATTAAAAGTTCTCATTTTTCAATCGTTTCTCTTGGCGTTTGTCTATTTCTCTCTCCTTTACCATCCCACATTTTGCTTTCTTAGCAAAAATATTTTTTAAAAAATCTATTATTCGAATGTGAGCAAAGAAAAGAAGGGGTAAGTGAATGCGAGAATTACACAGTCGTGTTTATGAATGCTACTCTGTTTTTACAAAGTGAATGTTGATAACTAAAATACAATTTTTACATCATAGCAGCAGCTCAGCTTGTCTAACTTCTGGGCTTCCTTATAAGACAATTTCCCCAGAATTTAGTCACCAACTGGACACCCAGAAGATATTCTCTAAGCAAGCCAACCATTCTAATTTAATCCTATATATTTTGGAACTGTCCTAGTATCTTACAGATGATACTAAAGCCAGAGCAGCAAATCAATAAGACTCACAGTTTCAGATTCTGAAAATACCTTGAAAACTTAGAATACATTTACTGCAAATCTGTTTACCCAGAGACTAGGTAAACTTGGGACATATTCATGAATATGCCTGTTTCTCACCTGCAGAGCTATAGACATTAGTTCCATATACATAGGTTCACCTGAACTTAGCAAACTGCAGCATTCAGCACGGCTCCTCCTTCTACTAGATATGGTTCTAACAAGAAAAATAAAAAGAAAGTCATGTTTGGATTAGTAGTACTCTCAATTGAGCCTAGTATCTGAAGTGTTGACTAAAGCACTGTTGGGCTCCTTCCCAACTAAACACATTTTGATGGTCTGAAGAGAAAGTATGAATGGAGACACAGAGAAAGTCTAGAACAGCAACAGGAATTCCAGTTCAAGAAGGATCTTACTTAAGTAAGGATTCCTCTGTTAACCTTTCCTTTGCAGAGTATATATCTAGTTCTTTGCTCAATAGAGTACACTCAATCCCTGGCAAATCCTTTTCTCTTTCTGCCTTTGACTCCCTTTCTAGGCAAAGTCACTTACCTTCTGGGAACACCACTCTCATTTTGAGATAGCTGGTGGTGAGTCTGATTATGGATGCTTTGTCCAGCTGCGAGGTGATAGCTGAGGGCAAAGGCAATAATTTAGCCAGTTCATAAAATTCACTGTTTTCCTTCTCCCTCCTAGTCCGAGCAGCATTTTTGGACTTTTCTTTCATTGTGTCTGGTTCCTTCTTTCTTCTTACAACGCAGGCTCCACAGATTCATCCAAAACCAAAAATTAGCTTTCAACTGGAGGTCATACTAGGCAAAAATATGAACGCGTATGTTGAATGAAGTTGAAGTCTGCACTAAAGACAGTGTATGATGGTAAAAAGCCAGGGCAGCAAACAGAAAATATTTTCTTTGAAGTCAGAAGATACAAGTGTAGGAAATGTGCTCATCCATGGCAATTCGGGCAATCCTGGATATCAAATGCTGGCAGAACCTCGCAGGCGTTTTCTTCTATTCCGTTTGGCAAACCCGGTTCCTTGGAAAATCGACATAATAATTTCCGACGTTTGCTCTTTAGTTTCCCGGCATTTGAGGCGGCTCCGAGTCCTTTTGGGGACAGGAATTCCGGATGTTTCTTTCAGATCACTGCGAAGACAACAGTATCAGAGCATGAAAGATCTTCGGCCCGCCTTTTGCCCTCGCCCCGGCTCCGATAAACGGCCGAAAGGGGCTCAGTGCGCCTCGGCTCTCCCGGGCGGCATCGGTGGGGGCTGTTTCTGAGACACTGAGAGATCGGCAGCCGCACAAACCCCCCGTGAGCCCTGCTCGCATCCCCTCGTCCAGGCCAGCCACGCTCTCCTGCCCCCGCTAGGAAGTTGTCCAAACAACAAAGCGCACATTTTCGAAGACCCTCGGGAGACTGCAGGCCACCGGCCCGGGCCTGCAGCGTCCAGTGCGGACCCGCAAACCCTAATTCCTCCGCAGAGCTGCGGGCGCCTTGCAGGCCGCGGAACCCGGCAGCCCTGGAGTTGGGCTACCTCTCTGCCAGGGGCGTGAAGTCTGGGCGAGTCTTCAAAAAGTGGCACTTAAACACCAAGCCCATGGGGACCCTCGAGGGATCCCCAGGGCTCCTCCTGCCCAGCAGGATCAGGGACTCGAGGCTGGCAGCACAGGTTAACAGGTGGCACTCGCGACAGCTCCCCCGCGGGCTCCGGTGGACGAAGACGTCTCCGCCCCAGCCTCGCCTCCCCCGCGGAAGAGCCGCGCGCCGGGCAGGCTTCTGCTCCACCTACCTTCCGTCCTCGCCGGCTGCAAAAGCTGAGGAGGTGCCCGACTCTTAATTGCACTCATGCCAGCGGTCCAAATAAGCAACGCCGGCGACCTCTCCGCGCCCCACTATCAAAGATCCAGAGCACTCCCCGACTCCTTTTTCTTGCTCATGAATGGGGGGGGTGCGGCCGAAGGAGGAGGATGCGGGCTTTGGGATGGGCGAAATGGTTTTAAAATCCTCCTCCTCGGTACTTGCTAAGGAGCCAGTATTATTCCTAATTGGAAACCAAAAGCGCCCCCCCGTAACTACTTTATAGCTTACGAAATTTAGCTTCAACTTCACTCCCGGGCTCCCTTTCTCCCGCCTTCCCTCAGTGCCACTCACATGACTTCCTGCTTCCCATTGGCTTGGGGCAACCGGAGCGAGGCGCTCATTGGTCAATCGGGCTGAATGACTGGGAAACGCCTGGAGCCCCCTCTCCTCCCGCTGCCTTGCGGCTCTGAGCTCGGGATCCGACCCCGGAGTCGCAGCCAGTGCCACCGGGGCACAGGGTCGGCCGCTGCCTGGCACTCCCGCGGCTCCCAACCTCTGGGACCCGAGCGTAGTTGTGCTCTCCCTATGCGTCCAGGACCCCCACAGCTGGCCGGCTGCCTCGGCCGGGCGCCCGGCTGGGGCTGCTGCGAATGCCTGACCACCTACCTGGGTTGGGGTTCGTGGCGGGCGCCGCGAAGTCACCGCGACCCCGGGCAGGTGGCGGCCGGCGGCGCGAGGAGCCAGCATTGAGCTCTATTTTCTCCCGAGTTTTTATGAACCTAGAATGACGCCGAATTTATCGCCAGAGGAAATAAATACAATGCTTAATGCGAAGAAAGGCGTCGTTTTGGAAATGGCTTGGGTTTGGGGCTGATCTGTCCCTTGTGAAAAGGTCTAGTGGGCAGTTTGCCTATGGAAGCTCGCGTGGACACTGAGGAGAAGCAGGTCCTAATCAGGCCAGAGTGAATCCAAAGTGCCTGATACAGAGACGTCTCAAACGATCCGCTACTTTAAACGTCAGCCGAGTGAATTTGGTTTTGTTTCAGTGAAATGCTCCTTGCAGATAGGATACTGTCTGGAGGAGTGAATTTAAAATGTTTACCTTCCCCCACTAGGAGCTTATTAAACGAATCCTCCCAAGTACTATTGATAACAAATTATAGTTCGGAAACTCATTTGAATCGCCTTCCCTGTCTGTCAACCTGAGAACAGACAACTGATAATCACGAGGTGGAGAGGGTGCCCCCGAAAACAATTACTGCCACTTAGGAATCCCGCTGGGTTTTGGTGCTGCTGGCGACAAGGTTCTACTCCTGGAGGAGCGTTTGCGCGGTTGTCAAACCTGCCATAAAAGTGGACACGCCCGTAACCACGCACTTGTCCCCTAAGTTTGTGCCACTGACCGAGGCTGAGAAAGCAAGTAATTTGAAGAAAGGCAGGCGTGTACCGTTGGGCTGATACTCAGAACACCTTCAAGACTGGCTGTTCCAAGACGCGGCCGTCTGCCATCTTCCGTGCCACCCGACGCCAGCAAGCGCTAGGACAATGGGAGCTTTCTGGGGTTATTTACACATCTGGGCAACACCTGGAAAGAGGAGGTGAAGGTTCTGGGGAGAAAAAAAACAACAGAGAAGAATTGCACATAGAGGTTTCTAAGTGCTTGTGAACTGGAACCGGCTAATGGGCTATAATCTAGGAGGAGGAGTCCTTTCCCCAGCGGCTGCAGCCACTTAAGAGACCTGGCTCTGGGCGGGCTCGACCAGGTGTGAGTCACAGCTAACAAGAGGTGGCTGGAGGGACTGAGACGCACTGTGGCTCATGTATACACAAGATTCCAGGAAGATCAAAAAGGTCAAGTTAACTACTACCCGGGAAGTAAGGGGAGGGAGGTGCGTGGAGAGCCTGAAGCAAGCTTCGGGACCAAGCTTTCGGCCAGCCTGGGGTAGAATGGGCCGCCAGGCTAAGTTATGAAACTTTACGGTTAAACGACTCCGTTTTCTATTTTGACTATTCTAGAGAGGATTTTAGTCAAGTCTGTGGTAGCGTCAAACTGATGTGTACTTCAAACAACAGGCAGGTGTGGACGCGCCCCTCTGGGGCCTGAAACCGTCTGCGCCTGGAGCAGCGGGGCGAGGAGCTCGCACCCGGCGTTGCCTGGCCGAGCGGAGGAGGAAGGACACGGTTTGCTCTCCGAAGCAAGATGGGCAAAATGCGTCTGGAAGCCTTCAAAACAAAGGTCGATGTCAGGGCGGGGCGAGGCGGTGGCAGCCTGCTCCAGCGACCCGAGGAGGCTCCGTTCTGGATGACCCCACAGATGTCGCTTAATAAACAGGGTACGCTCTGCCGACAGGTGACTGCCCCTTGCTACGTCCTCGCACAAGACCGTCTGAGCAGCGCTTACCGACAGACTGAATGGCACGGCAACGTACCTGCTTTTCTATTCGTGGGACTCAGGTTAGAGCCCTAATTCGGCTCCTTCGCTCAGCAGCTTAGCACCCTTTCTGGGACCCCAACTGACCGGTCTGGCTAGCATGCCCCGTAGCCAGGGGACCTGAACCATGAACAAGAACCTCAGGTGCCTCCCTCCTACGTTCGGAATTTGCCTCTAGCACGGGAAATTTTAAACTAGATTTATTATTATTTTTTTAAATGCTGGGTTGGATAATTTTACCCACCATTTTGCCAGTATTAAAAAAAAAAAAGGAAAGAGGCTGGTGTACGTGAGCCACTACCACCAAACAGGGATCCATGAGGACTCTAGGCCGCCACCTCCGTGGGTGGATGCGTTAAAATTTAGCCTTCTGGCTCAAGAGGTCCACACCACCTCAGAACAAACATCTCCCTCCTCCCAACAGTTAGGAAGGCAAACAGCCTAGAGGCATGACGACTGTGCTCCCGAGTCCTTTCCACCCCTGAGATGAGATACACACCTGTGGCGGTCGCCCAGAGACGACTGTGGGTTCAGGAGCCCACATTTCCAGCCAGACCCGCTCAGAGAGAGCTAGCAACAGCAGACTGATTCTGTGTGTGCAAAGACCCGTGCGCAGTGCCCGTCCAGAATGAAGGACAGGGAGTTCCCAGGTCCTTCTGACCTTTTCGCCACAGCAGGATAAGTCCACACTAGAGACGCTGAACTTGGGGTTGTAACAGTTAGTGTGTGGTGCTCAGAAATCGCAGAACAAACTAATCAAGTGGGTTTTAGTGCTCTGCCCTCCGTTCTGAATTCGGCTCATTCGTCTCTGCTGCTTGAGCATCTTATCAAAGCTAGAGTGATTTCAGTCGTCTCTAGTTTTTACAGCCTGTCAGTGGTGCACATATACACATTTCCATGTTCTCACACCACATGTACAAGTGTACAGACAAGAGTTTTACTCAGTGGCCAAGGTCAACAGTGAAGGGTATATTTATAAACAATATGCAAAATCCGAAGCAACCACTTAAGCATCTTAGTGTGTTATATCCAGATGTTCACTCTCTACCAGTGAAAAGGACAATTTGTCTAGGGAAATATTAAAGTCTTAGGACACATTAACATTTTTTTCTTGCATATTCTAGACCCATTTTATTATCACATTTAGGCATTGACAGCACTATGAAGTCAAATCTTAAAGCAGAAATAAGACTTCCTTGCAACTTGAATCTCTGGACAGAAAACAAAGAATGGGAAGATCCTCAAAAAATACATTCCATTTTAGAAATTGTGGTAAAACCACTTATTTGATCAAGGAGTATTGTTATGCAATAAAAAAGTCTTCTGTGAAGTAACATTTCTTAGGCATCAACCTATGAAACATCTAGAATTAGCTGCAGTGGTTAGATACTCAAGGAAAAAAAGAAAAAGAAAATACTGACTCAGAAAAGGGAAGTCCTGAATACAGCAAAGATTTTGTATAGTTTCACTAAGTATTTCAGATGAAATTTTCCATCCAGGTTTTAAAACCATAACCTAAAGTACAAGGTTGAATGAGTTGCTGAGAAATGAGTGTTTCTTACCTCGTACACCACTGTATTGGGACATACACATTTTAGGTTTAAAAATAAAACATTCCTTAAAAGTAGTGGTAGTACAAGGACAACTCTGATTTTGTGTATTCTGAACACAGAAATGAGTGAAGACATTAGGCTCCAGGCCTGGACACATTTCACATTTTTTTTTTTCTTTCCAGAAGTTGAGCTAGGAATGATGTATGTACATATCTCAGCAATGTTGGTCACAGGAATACAACTAAGATGGAAGCTAAAGAGGAACACTGGTTAGCAACTTCAGACTGGAAGACACTTTGATCCCTAAATTGATTCAAAGTAGACTGCACCGTCTTAGGACACACTAACGTTTTCCACTCCTGTGATGAGATGAGCCAGGCCAGTGGCCCCTGGAAAAGGGGCCTGAGGTTGAACTGGATCCAGAGGGCTAGTGCTAAAAATCTCCAGGACTTTAACAGGAACCCATTAGCTCCTCCAGTCTCTAGAGGATTTCCCCTTCTTTGAGTCTCAGCTTTTTTTCTTATGCTCCATTGAATTCTCAAAGTACAATTATGGAATATCTATCTGAAGCACTCGAAGTCCAGCACTCTTCAGGCAGGATGGGTAAAGACTTCTGGTGAGGTAGATCCCATTAATTCATGAACAAATCACCCACATCTAGAACAGACTCTTTATTGGTTCACTGAGGGCAGAGGTTAGAGCCCAGAGCAGCTTTTAGATGCGGGCCCTCCCAACCAACTTGATTTAGAAATCATTCTTCTGAAGAATCAAGGAACTGGCATTCCATAAGGTGGGAGACAAGGGGAACTCCATCACCTAGGCACTCAAAGCATAGAGAGGGCAGGAGTGAGGCTGGGCTTCCCAGAGGCCATCTCTGGTTGCTCCATGAATGGGATCCACACTTGTCCTCTACTCAGGTCTCCAGTCCCAGAATCTCAAGAAAGTGCTGCCCACAATGGCTCTTATGGTATTGTCCCAGGACCCTGGGAAGTATTATAGTGCTCAACTGACTCTGAGACCACATGTCTCTGGGTTACCACACATATTCCTGGGTCCAACCTGAAATCATCATCTCTAGATTCTCATGTGTATATCTGCCCTTGAAAATCTAGGCCTTGATGTTATAGTTTTGGAAGCTGAGCATGCATGAATTCACCAGGTCGGTTGGCTAAATCAGATTGCTAACCCTGTTTCAGCTTAAAATTCAGTAGACTAAGGGTGAAACCTAACCATCAGCATTTTCCAGGTGCTGCAGCAACTCCTGGAAGGGAACCACAATTTGAGAGCCATTGCCTGCTCCTTCTCAGCCTGTCTTTGAGAAGTCT